CAGTTGTCTGTGTGGGGGGGGGGGGGGGGGGGGGAAGCATTTAAACATAAAAGACTATCTTTTGGTTGGAAATAGTGAAGATAAATGAAAGAATGGTAGCAGAGGATGAAAGTATTGAAAGCATACTCTGTGAAGGATATTTTCTACATCATTAACACGGGACATTTAGCATCTAAACCATCCTCTAGTAGCAGATTAGTAAAGTTTAAAAACACTGTAATTTTTTCATTTCTAGTAAAATACAATTTTGTTGCATTAGGATACTGCTAGTGGTATACAAAATAATTTGTTTTGTCAGAGAATAAAATACACTCTTGGATAAGTATTATTCGCCATCTGTATGCTTTTATTCAGTTCTAATCCAGAGATTAAATGACTACCCTAGAGATTTTAATTTGCTCTAACAACTTAATTTTTTTTCCCAGCCTCCTTCCATGGGATGTTCAGGTTCTTGCTCAGAAGTTCCTGGGTATTAAATAAGTGTACACGTCCAGTCAGCAGATAAAGGGAAGAACACAGCATGTCACAGACACAGAGATGAAGTTGAGTATTTTCAGATTTGTAACCACCTCTGGAGCAGCATTTCTTGGTCTGAGCTTAAACAGAGGAGTCATCTAAATAAAAGTACTTAAATATAGAAGACCTTAAGGAAGGTATTACACTGGTTCACGCCTATTCTGTTGGTTTCTATCTGCAGACTTTCAAAATAAAAGCAGCAAACAATTATGTGGTTGCTTCACAGAACAGGAAGATTAGTGAAGTGGTATACACACATCCTATCCCTTCCTGCAGTTAGGCACTTGTGGAACCTCCAGCATTTGTCTTTATACGTTAGGACAGAATAAAACTATTTTTAACTGATCAGTGGGTTAGAACAAAATTTTGGTTTGATCCTTACGTAACACAATAATTGCAGTGGAACTCCAAGTACAGCCACATTTAACTCTGATGTATGGTACTAAAATTTGGCCAGAGAATTGAGAACAAGAGTAACCACCCTGCTAACTCTAGATTCCTCAACCGAATCCTTTCAGATAGGATTTATCCTAAGGAAATATCAGCTGTCTATATCCTAAAACAAAACAACAACAAGTTATGGGAATGTATTTTAATATTATGGAACAAACTGGTATCGCAGTGAATCCAGGCTGCTTCTCATTCTGTAGGCACATTTTAGCTATCCTACAGGTTAGCATTCCCAAAAATAACTTTTGCACAAATCCTCCTTTTCTTTAAGACCTCCATCCTGAATCCAAAAATGATGGATCATGAAAAGTCATGTTTCTTCCTTTGGGGAGTCAGGACTTTCTACTAACAAATAAAATATTCTGCTTTAAAAGAATTCCCTGACCAATTTTCGTTATTCCCCTTTAACTTCCATGTGATGCAGTTTTTTATCTCAAGGATAGCCAATTGACCCATTCAAGAAAGCAGATAATGCTCCAAAATCCCTGGATGAACGTGGACTACGTTCCTTCCTGTACACCAACTTCAGACTGCAACTTGTTACTTAAAATAGGAGACTTGAGCAGCAGTCTTTAAGCTTGACAACACAGCACTGAAAAAGGCTTCATTGGTCAGGTTTCATATGCAGCACATCTACACAGCCACTTTTCAGGTTCTCACACAGAGCATTGAAACAAGACATTTGACTGCACCTCTTCAAAGAACAGTGGCACAGTATCATTCTTTTGACAGGAGCCGCTATTAAGTGCAGCTGTATGCTTTTAAGAATAAGAAAAGGCTTGAAGGAAAGCAATGCAAAAGCTGCTAGAATTTAGGCGCTGGCTTAAGGCTTTGAAATTTGAGAAAGCAGTAATGAGTGCTTTCTTTGCAATACCAGAAAATAACAACGTGAAGAAGACTGGAGTCTGTCAAAGTCTAGACAATGTGAAGGAGTACAGGCAGACAGGACATTTTCTTTGGTGAAGGAACATATGTTGCCTACATTGTGTGGTCTCTGCTGATCTTATTTACAAGCTGAACTACTGGAAAATGAACATAAATATTTCCAGAATCTAGTTTCCAACCTCCTCAGCTACTTCCTTTGAGCCTGTATGCTCCACATTTGGAAGTAGGATGGGCAGGCTTTAAAAAAGGTCCAAATGAACAAGACCGGAATGCACTGAAATTCGGTGACTCGTTCTGCCAAGTCACATCTCCTGTCCCCCAGTGACCTGCGTCCTCAGGAATCGCCCTCAGTTACACATTACTAAATGAGGAGTGGAAGCCCCGTAGGATCAGAACTCCTTCCTCCGCACTTTGAAGCAGTGGCCTAAGGACAGCCCTACCTGCAGAACACTGGCGGTATAATTTAACAGGCTGGGATAATAACGTGGTAAATTCTGAAAAGAAACAAGATCACTATCTCAGTTGATAGTGATGTTAGCACAATAGTTAGTCCTGACAGATTGGACTAAATACTTTGTTTTCCTACTCCCATTTGAAAGTGATTAAAGGGAAGTTCTCTGTATCTGAACTGAACTGAGTATTTTGAGTGCAAAATTTCACAATTTACTAAACATCAGCAGATTCTGGAACACTCAGATTTGGCCATATTGCCAAATACTTTTGGAGAACCACAGGAAAAAATGCTTTAGTTTATTAAAATGTTTATTGTAATTTAAGCAGAGTCAAACAAGATAATGGGGAGAAAAATGCTTGGTAAAATCTGCTTGTGGGAGAACAACCCTAACCAATTAAGATCTGAATATGAGAAAGTAATTTTGGAACAGGTCCTATACTTAAATTTTCTGTAACGGGATCTTTACTGAAACATGTGGCATGAAGCCCAAGTTAATGTACACTGATATTCATATTCAGAAGCTCCAGCTCATTCCCTCACAGTCAAAAGGTTTCTTAAGATCAAAAACAAAAGTAAAAAGTTCAAAGAAAGAATCCAAAAAGGTGAGGTGTCTTGCAGACAGCACTCTCCTAGTACTCAGAAATGTATGCTTTATACCAGTACTAGCCTGCTAGTCTAATGCAGTCAGAGAATTTCACCTTCACCTCATTTGTATTCTTCGTAGAGCATTTTAGTATCTGTTGAACAACAGCGTCATATAAAGCCTTCAGGTTCTTCCTAGCCTTTGCTGCATCAAGCACAAAGGAGACAACAGAAAAAGCAAGTGATTGTAGTGCTCTAGAAAAAACACACTTTTATCTAGAACTCACTTTGGCTTACCTAGAATCCACACAGTGACCTGAAGTCTTCCACCATGAGGCTGTGATTACAAGGTCTTTGACAAAAGAACCTTCTCTTACATAGCACCTCTAAGATGATAGATGCATTTAAGAGTATTGAAACAGAGGTATCTGTGGCAAAGTACCTTAATTAAGGTTCATATGAAACATAGGAATATCAACAAATGAATGCTGCAAAATAGTCAGAAGAATAGGCTCCTCTCCCATCCAAAGAGAAAACTCCTAAGTAGCAGCGGATAAATGCAGGGAGACCATTTGCACCACTATCAATGTGGTATCTGTTTTGCAATATAAATTGTTTGGAAAGTAGTTTCTAAGTTGTAAGAATTTGCAATACAAAGCCTCAGCCTAGCAAGTTTCTTTTAATTTTTAAATGTACAGCATTTTAGTTCTACAAATGTAAAAAAAAAAAAAAACAAAAAAAAACCCCCAAAAAACTTTACAATGTTTTTTGCGCTTATAATGATCAAAACCAACTTGATTCAATAAAATTTTGGTATGCAGTTCATGTGGCCCAATTGCTCTTGATAACGCAAATAAAATGGCCAAGACCTTCAGCTTTGAGACGCAGCATATGCCGTAACTGCTTTCTGTGACAAGAGTTACTACACACACTGCAGACTGAATTAGGAAGTGCTGCTACAGATTACCAGTTAAGTACACACTGAGCGTCGTTCACATCCAAATGATACACTGTCATGTGTCAGTCTATGGTGCCAGTTTTTGTTGCTAGAGGGAAAGTTTTGTTTTGAAAGTACTACCCCCCAAAAATTACTAAGTGCAAGGCAAGGTTATGACTCAAAGTACAAGCAAACAAGGAAACTTAAAAGTAGAGACTTAAACTTTGAAATCATACCAACCTGTTGTGCCAGGTTTCTTGTCATAATCGTAACTTTAGTTTAAGCTCCCAGTAATACAGTTGCACTAACACACTGTGGCACAAATAACAAAATGTACCCACACATTACTTTTGAATTTCCTTGACCTTGCCAGGTTTTCACATCCTCCACATTACTAAATAGTAGTTATTTATATGTAATTGATAACCATTGTACAGTTACTCCATAGCTTTACAATACTGCCCGTACTATATCACAAGCATTACAAATCCTATAAAAAAGCAGCCCCTGTAGTGGCATACAAGAATAAATTAACCAAAAAAATTTAGTATTACCATTTATTGGTGACAAACACTACGTTTTACTTACATTCCATGGGGAGAAAAAATTCCAGCGTAAACAATGAACTGAAGCAGTACTTAACTTGCAAGGCTATCGTGCTTTACCTGGACCATATGCAAAAAACTTTATTGCGCACAGTTCAGTGCGCAATAACACAACATCAAAAGCAACACAGTTTATATATAAACATAGGTAATTTTTTTCAGCCCTACATGGAGATGTAATTAAACAGTATAAAGCACTCAAGGAAAATCAATCTGCGGTTTTATATGCACTACATTGAGATCATATCCTGTAATGTAGTGAGCTGTGTGCCATCTATACACACAATCCTTAAAACATAGATCAGAGATCATTTAAAGTCATGTTGCATTCGAGTTCCCCTACCCCCCACTCAAGAAAACTAGAAATTAACCAAAAATGATCAAACAAAGTTTAAAATTCCTAAAGTGTTTTAATTCATTCAACCGTTGGATAATGAAGCTAGGTTTGCGAAAACATTGGACTTTTTAAAATGGTGGGCACACAATTTGTTTCCAGTGAAACTTTGCTATTTCAATAAAAACAAAATAACCACATACATGGATATGATCTTCCCCAGTTAGTTCACAGATAACATGTCAGTCTCAGAAGACAAAGTTTCTAAACTGTGCTATTGTTCTAGATACAATTAAGAAACTTTTAAATGAAAAATTTATAGTGTCATTTCAATCAAAACAACATAATGAAACTAAAAATTTATCGCTGTTTGAAAAGAAAGCAACGGTTATGATTTAGACACTACAGTAGGTTGTAAAGACTGTAGCACTCTAAAACAGTTAGGTTACATTAATAGGAAGCATTTGATTTTCTCTGGTGCTTTCAGGTTTGGGTCCAGTCAAAAGCCTTTTTTAGGCAGTGCTGTCCAGTGTTTGTCCCAAAGTGTTTGAGTTAGCCGGTTTGAGAAGAGGGTCACTTTCCATTTCTTGTTTCACACATCTACAAATGAGAAAACACCTGTTACTTAGGAGATAAAACGCTATTTCCACAAATAAGATGCTTCTAAATCAGATACAAAGAATTTGAGGTGCCTATAACAATTTGTTTCCATATAACTGGCCTCCATTTTTAATCAATTAGCACTTCGTTAATTCCACCACTTTAACAGCTTATTATCTAAATGAGAGGCTAAACTTTTTTTTTCCACCCCTGGTCAAAGGGAGTAATTTGCAATCCCTCCATGTTTCTGCTGAAAGCAAGCTGTGAAACCTATACATTGTTTACATTTTACATATGGAAGATTTCTAGAAAGAGAGGAGCAGCTGTAACACTTAAACACACTGGGAAGTCACACTATTTACAAATATATGTACACAAAGAGTTTAAGCAGAGAGATCGCAGTCAGAATAGCTCTGTATCACAGCCATTACATTTTATCCACTTGCTCCTGATTAGTAATTTGCATTTGACACATGAAAGTTATGAGCTTGATCATAAAACCCTCTCATCCTTCTGCAGAAGATAACAGCCTTTGGCATTTTAACTTTTCTGGCAAAGGAAAAAACCCTCGCATCTTATTTGTTTATAGAACATCATAGGGTTAGAGGTTTCCATTAATGCAAGGGAAAGTCAATGGGTCACACTCACACAGACATTGGTCCATTTCCTGTTCTTGGCATCTCTGTGGTTTGTTGGTCCAACTCAGACAGCAACTTTAAAATATTCAATGCAGCCTAAAGAAAAGAGAGAGCATTCAGCAATTCAACCTGAATCCATTTCATTAATTTAGTGAAAGCAGGACCAGGACTCACTTAAAACAAAGTAAATGTTCTAATTTTGGTAATATATTTTTTTAGATGCATAATTATGGTGGAAAAAATGCAATGGTGTAGAATTTCATCTTGCTACATTAAACAATAGAATAGTGCTGTGGCTAGGGGATTCCCATTGCATTTGTTTTAGCAATGGGGGAAAATTCATTCAGCAGTACTATTACCATCAAGGCAAAAGACACTAAATTAGTAATGGCTCAAACTGTACAGAGCTTAAGATAAAGGACATTAAAATACACAGAACCAAAAGCTCCTTTGCAGAAAAAGAAAACAAGTTACACAAGAATCAAAACTACGACACAGATAGGGCACGTGTGACTGTTTAAAAGAAGAGTCAATGTGACATGGCTAATGCAAAAGTAAGTCACCTCCTTTGAGAACTGAAAATTTTTTTCAACTTTATTCAGATCAATTTCAGGTGCACCTTTTTGGAATATCCCTGGTTAGTTATGGCACATGCATTAGTGAAAGCTGAGTATCTGAACAGAGGAAGGTTCTCACATTGGCCCAGTCACAATGTTTAAGCTCCGAACTGGCTGTCCTTTTCCCCTCTACCTACTGCACTGACTTGTGTGCTTAGTCTTACAGGAGCTCTTTACAGAAGGATGTAGAGATGGGTATGAAAATGTCAAAATTAAGCGACAAAGATCAAAGAAATCTCTATCAAATTATAGCCATTAGAAGATTACTGCAAAAATTTTTGGTAAAAATCAGCAAAATCAGGTTTTCCTAAGTGTATTTACATATTGCAAACTATTACTTTGGTCTGCAGTCAGTATTCGGGTCACCATTGGATACCAAAAGAACTAAACTCTTTTCAAATTATAGTAGACTATGTACATATTGTTAGCAATATGTAATGTGTTTTATAGACAAAGTCCCTTACAGTTTACAGTCTAGAAGACTCATTTTTTCACAGAGAAATATTTCAGCTACTGTGAATAAAAGATCTTATTCATAAAGGGAGCTTAACAGATTTAGAGTGTCTCCTGCTATCTAATGGTGAATTGCTTTTCCTCCATTTTGGATCCTGTTCTAGCAGAAAGTCTGGTAACATGAACTCAAGTTTTACAGTTCCCAATGAAATATCAGCCCATTCTGTTAAAGAAAATAAGCTGATATGTTGTTCTGTTTTAAAAGTTCCTTTTCATACATTTTCTTTAATATGTGCTCATGCAAATAATATCAAGATAAAGCAAATGCATTTTTTGTAGACCAAAATTGTGAGAATATATTAAGCATTTTGAAGGTTATTTAGATTAGATTCTGATATTATTAAACAATTATTTCAGTAACCTGTGAAATACTAAACAAAAATTAGCCAGGGAATTGTACAGCATTTAATTCATTGCTATCCAGCAGTAATATGAAACCTTGGTCTATCCGCTGCATCCCTTAGCTCACTGAAGGCCAAAGAGATAGCATTTCAGCAGAAGTCATCATACCATATCGTGGCAAGATTCTACATCCTTTCCAATTCCATGGCTGATCAGTGGTGGCTGAGAGGAACAGTTTATAAGAGATACAAACTCGTTCTTGTTATTTTTTGGAAAGTCTTTATATTCAACCTGAAGAAAAGAGAAGGATTTAGTTCTTTTCAAGTACAGGAAATAGATCACGATAGCTATAGATCATTTGCCCATATATGAAGCTAAACTTTACTTTTAATCATTCTGTCAGTATTTACTGTGAAGTTTGACTTGACTTGCAATATTTTTTAGTAATCATGAGAGCTCTGCAAGCCTTCTCAATAAAAGTTACTACGTAGTAATGATCGTTGCTGGGACCTTTATTCTGATCGTAGCTATGTGCATTTAAAATTTTTCCTATTATACTTTTTAATCCACTGAGCTAATTTAACCTATTAATATAGGAACTTACATGCAATTCTGATTAAAGGGACCAAACACAAGAAAATGTACAGCTTACAGCAAATGTTAATGTATGAAAGATTATTCAGGAAAACTGATTTCAGATCAGCCAAGTTCAAGTTCATATTACGTTCGTACATCATGACAATTTTCAGAAAATGCTACTTTCAATTTTATTCTTCCAAGACTTCAGAGTAGCACTGAATTAAGGCTGAGGACACAGTACAGAAATGCACATTTGAAAACTAAATTAAAAAAACCTGTAAAATTCAGTACATTTCATAGGCAGAGTAAAACATTTACATGAATTTCAGCTTAACAAGCAGCCTCAGAATACATCAGTCACCAGCAGAACTAAAAAGCTTTAGAACAAACAACAGCTTGGACCAGTTTTGGATAGCTTTGGAAGAAATCTTGCAAAGCTGAACATTTACCTGGATTCCTTGAACATTGGAAAGATAGTCCAGCTGCTCAGAGGGCCTAGTAAGTGGTCCGTGGGGTACGTGGCCTGATGAGTTGTTATTCTTTAATATGGTCTCAGCAGTAGGAGAAGTACCACCATACAATAGCTCTCTAGCAATCATTGCTGTTACTGTAGCCTTGGCAGGATTTGGGGCTGCCCTACTGAACTCTTTGGTGTGGTGTCCTTGATTGGCTCCTACAGCTTGTGCAACCTCAGGGACCATGGGAAGAATTCCAGCAGGAAGCTGCTGATGGCTGAGATAAGGCATCCTAAACTCATCTTCTTTATTACCTGAGAAGAGAGAGGTACATACTGAAGAGATGCTAGCTATTTCTATGAGGCCTTCTGCAGGCACATGAAGGCATATATAGGTATCAAAAGCCACTTTTGGAGAAAAAAAAAAAAAAATTGTTTCAAATTACTTTTGAAACACTAACAAACTTAGCGAGCTTGAGTCACCTTTGGTGAGTCAGAGATTCAGCATCATCAAGACAGAGTTTGCCTATTGAATAAATGATTCGGTACAACACCTGCTTCTACCAAAAGGAGCACTTTTACCTCCAGGAGCAGTTTCTCCAGGTTAGTCAAGCTTACAGACACCTCAGACAATTGCAACCACATTCTAGATATATCTTTTGGTTTCAGAATTTTTTATTTCATCATTTGAAATGTAGCAGCAAATAATGAAACCATAGTATAGCCAGAGCGACTGTTAAATATTGTAAAGACAGTGACAGATAGTCCACAAAGTTTAAACTGTATATTGTGAAAATATAAACAGGCAGGTAAGGTTAAATGTAATGTTAGTACAGTATGAAGAAGCAAGAATGACTATTTACAGCAAATATCCAACCACAGTCAATTGATAGCAATTTATTGACATTATGGCATAAATTACATTTAAGAGGGATAAGAACAGCTTTTTCGGGGAACTCACATACACAGAACTGTGGAGGAAAATTACAGAGGTGTGCTCAAGAAAGGTGCGGAAGACAGTGCCACTGAAATAAACAGAGGAGTCAGTACTATGGCAGAATAGATAAATGATTCAGCAGGACTGAGCTGTTTCAAGTCTAATGACGAAAGCCAAAATTTGTAGATGGAAGAAAGCAGAGATGGCTAAGTTCAAATAAGAAGTCAGGAAGTTTACCTAAGATCTTATGGATGCAGTAAAACGTTACTAAAGTTCAAGTCAATCCCAACTATTTATAATTTAATCAACAAAATTATACTTAAACACATAAAGCACCTGAAACATACTATCCAGAACAGAAATATGTTGCAATAGACAAACTTTCCATAATGACTCCTCCCAACAGTTTACATTAGAGAAAGCCAATGCCCGTATACTTGGTGGCCAGGTTTGGGTTTTTTTGTTCCAAACAGTTTACATTAGAGAAAGCCAATGCCCGAATACTTGATGGCCAGGTTTGGTTTTTTTGTTCCAGCCAGTCATCTGTGGATCTGACCACTGTAACCATCAACTGTCTGAAATAAACACAGGCACAGTTCCTTGCTCTCAGTCATTAGAGACCAAGCACAGACTACTACAAGGCCATTCCTTCCATCTCCAACTCTGCTTTAGGAAGACCAGCTCTCAGTCATTAGAGACCAAGCACAGACAAAGAAGTTGTTCTGTACTACAAGGCCATTCCTTCCTTCACCAACTCCGCTTTAGGAAGACCGATTTCAGTTAGTACTGACACCCTTTCTCATCTTCATCCCAGGAACAGTCTTCAACATACTGCAGTTATTCCCTCAATGTCTGTAAGGTGATATGGCCAAACTTAACACAGCTAACTCTGCCTCAACAGATTCAGCACTACCCTCCGATTGCTACTCTACCTCAGGCTTAGAGTGACATTTCTGGGGCAGTCTTCCAACCTGCAACCATTCTTCCAAATCTAGGCGGCTATTCCCAGGTGGCAGAAACCCCAACCCTTTTCCCAGGGAATCTGCTCCCATCCTCATTTGGACCCTATACCAGAGAAACATTCTGCTGAGCCAAAGAGGCTGATCTCTCCTCTTCCCCTTACCTTTTCCCCCGCAGAAATTGCCCCCACTTCACTCCTATTGGTTGAAGGAGCCTGGTCCCTGGATCAGAACCCAGCTCAGTCCTGAACATTCATTCTTGTCCTAGAAAGCCCTAGACACAAATTAAAGCCTGTCCCAAGATCCCTCAGATCGAGGTAAGACAAGCCCAGACTGCAGGTAGCAGCAGCTGCCCCTGCACTAACTGCTCGACCGACCCATTAGCACACACATGCTTTTGGCTCAGCCATCTACTCCCTTCCCTGAGCAGGTGGCCAAGCAAGCTGAATACTGTAGGACTTGGAAGGAATAAGCTCTTTGGGATTTGAACAAACCCTTCCCAAAGGGTAGATTTAGTTTGCAAGCCAGCAGTTGCACACCTCTGCTCATTACAGTGTGATAAATGACACTATTGAAGGGACTGAGAAACATGTCTTACACACACATACACACACACACACGCCAACAGGGCCATGGTTCTTTCACTAAGGTTACTTAGTTGAAGTCTCTTCAAAGCCTGGCTCGAAGAAGGTTACTTTTCTTCCATCACCTGGTTTCTTCACTGGTGTCTTAAAAACAAAAGCAAAAAACCCAACCACACAATATCCCTTTAAAACTTCCCCCCGCCCCGCACCTGGTTTCTTCACTGGTGTCTTAAAAATAAAAGGAAAAAAGCCAAACACACAATATCCCTTTAAAACTTCCCCCCACCCCCAAGTTTTAAAGTTTTCAAGATGTAGGTGATCTGACTAGTCAAAATGTTACTGAAAAATGTATTATTCAAAAACCCCAATTATTACATAGCTACCAAGAAGAGACAAGTTCGGTGATTCTTATTCACTGAATGACTAAAACTATCTACAGACCAGTGAAGTGGTATTAAGAACACAGATATTGAGAACTAGATACCATAATAAAGCCAGTTAAACTAACATTGGTATTGGTATTGCTGAGGACAACATACTAGAAAAATGTATTATTCAAAAACCTCAATTATTACATAGCTACCAAGAAGAGACAAATTCAGTGATTCATATTCACTGAATGACTAAAACTATCTACAGACCAGTGAAGTGGTATTAAGAACAGATATTGAGAACTAGATACCATAACAAAGCCAGTTAAACTAACATTATTGGTATTGGTATTGCTGACGTGCTGAGGGACCCACCAAAGAAAGAGACTTGTAGCAAACTTTCAGCTGCAATTGGCGATAAGGCTATTTAAAACTATTGATACCACAAAGTCCTATAACCTACATGCCTACAAGTTTCTAAGACCAATACATCAATTATCACAGGTTCTGAGCCATTCTATAAAGAATACATACATTCATTTAGCCTTCTGATGAGACTTTGATTTACTTGCAAAACTGAACCCTTAATGTATCCAAAATGCACTCGTGCTGAGGGACCCACCAAAGAAAGAGACCTGTAAAAAACTTCCAACTGCAATTGGCGATAAGGCTATGTAAAACTATTGCTACCACAAAGTCCTATAACCTATATGTCTGCAGGTTTCTAAGACGAATACATCAATTATCACAGGTTCTGAGCCATTCTATAAAGAACACATACATCATTTAGCCTTCTGATGAGACTTCGATTTACTTGCAAAATTGAACCCTTAATGTATCCAAAATGCACTAATTTTTTAGAGAACAGTCACCTCAATACAACTGCTTCCTGGCTAGGGCAGAAAGCATGAATTACTACACTGTTACTGCCTTGCAAAGCTGCTATTGTTTCAATTCAGCTTTTCGCTTCCTGGCTAGGGCAGAAAGCATGAATTTACTACACTGTTACTGCTTTGCAAAGCTGCTATTGTTTCAATTCAACTTTTGCTGTAGTATTAAACAGCGGTTGATTCTTAAAGAGACTTACCTTCTCTTCTGTCTTTAATGCTGGCTTTGGAGGTTGAGGTTGAGGGACTTTGAAACCTAAAAGTTCCAACATATTTTCAGCTGCATTGCGTTTAGCAACTTTTTTGTTCGTGCCCATTCCTTCAGCTGTGTGTACACCAACTTTCACCTGGACAAAAGAGGAAGAAAAAACAAATCAATTCTTAAACAGTAGTATGAGGATTCACTTATTAGTGATCTGTGTCTCGAGCATGCCATGAGTCACAAAATAGTTCAAGTGATCATTATTCTAAGTTGTCCTTTATTATCAATGATAATTGCCTTCTAAGCACAAAAAACCCAAAAGGAAATCATACAACTATATTTCATCATCACCATGTTTTTCCCCCACCACGTTTGTCCCCCACCTGTTACTCTCCCTCCGTATTTCTCCCCGCTCTTGTTTCTCCCCCCCTCCATTTTTCCCCCTGTTCTCATCTCCAGTACAGTAGTATGAGGATTCACTTATTAGTGACCTGTGTCTTGAGCACACCATGAGCCAAAAAATAGTTCAAGTGATCATTATTCTAAGCGAGTTGTCACTTATAATGATCATTGGCCTCCAAGAACGAAAAATGCAAACAGAAGTCACACAAACAACTATATTTCATCATCTCACTTTGGCAACAGCCTAAATGCTCAAAACTGGTATCACAGCAGATATAAATTTTCCAAGCTGAAGTTACAGGTTTAGCAGATTTACTAATGTAATGGAAAGAAAGCAACTAACTTTCCTATCTTGGCCAGAATAGGAGAGAGGTCTGGAGAATGCACTTAATTATTAGAGATACTCAGTATTAAAAATACTAGTATGCTATTGGAATTTGCAATGCAGAGTGCAAAAAGTGCTGCACTCTAAAGCAACACACGAAAACTCAGGGGAAGGAGGAAATGAAGGATACCCAGGTTCGTGTTAATAAATCCTACGTTACAAAATATAAGAAGCTCAGTATCTCTTAACAGAATATTAATATTCCTGTTAATTAAAACATTAGGCAATTACAACACAGACTTCTGGTGCCCTATGCAATTTTTTTTTTTAAACATGATTCAGATCACTTTTCTTGAACCTTTATCTTCCTTGAATGTAGGCCACTAGATATTTTCTTAATAAGTTTGGAAATTGGAAATTTGGGCCGTAATCCTGTTAACTTTGTGTATCATCATGACAACCTGATTACCACAAGCCAAAAAAAACCCCAAAGACATCACAGCCATGCAACTAGATTTCTCAAATTAACATACAAACCTGCATAACAAACTCCCTGCGCCTTGGAAGACCACGTTCTGTGATGAGCATGTACTCTGGTTCCTTCTCTTTCTTGGCCTGCTGTATCTGGGCAAGTCTGCTAATGGGATTCATTCCTTGACCATATTCTGGACTTGTTTGCAGCTATGTAGAACAATGTTTAGGAAATAAGCCAAAATTTGTGAATATCTGGTTTAATGGACAAAATGCAGCATGCCACTGAATTAATTCATCTCTAGAATTTAAAAACACTGAAATAAAAGTTGCTTAATGAAACACCGTCACAGCCAAAGAGAAACACTCAATTTATCTGGCTCTGCGGTCACAGTTGACCACATATAACCTACCACTGGTAATAGTTTTACAAGTTCTAATCCTGCTATATTAGGAAGGACAGGCTTGCAGGAGAATCTGCACAAGCAAAATCATGCAAAACCCGAAGCTCTAAAGTCTAAGGCTTGAAAGTCAGAGCTTGATTTTTATGTGTCACTCATTCTTTTGTAAGATTTCTCTTTCACCCTGAATTTACTGGTAACTGTTGTAAAAGTGGCGTAAGAACCCCATTTAGAATGGGAATAAATATATAATTTCATTTGCTGTACCAGACTGCTGATAAACGTTGAGGAGTTGAAGAGTGTTTATAATTAACTCAGAAATGCCTCTCATCTGATGATTATTTATAACAGTCAGATTTCCAATCTGTTTGTCTCTTACCTTCACTATTGATTTTGTTTTCTTTTTGATTCGTGGCTTCATTTTCTCAACCGTAGGAAGGGGTGGCAATTTTTTCAGTTCTTCTAGGACTGCTATTGCAGCATTTTTCTTTGAGATTTTCTTGCTCTTTCCTTCACCTTCGCCCATGAATTCTCCAACTGACACCTTGGTTACAAAGCTCTTCATATGGGGAGGACCACTTTCCTTGGTCACCTGTTTCAGAGGGAAAAACTGAGTGAAAGCGTGATAAACACTTATTAAAAATGGTAGGGCACATTGTTTATAGCAAACTTCTCTCAAGAACTACGGATAAAGAGATTTTAGATTCTCATACAATACAGAAAATAGAGATGTACATCATACTCACGCTAATAACATAATCCCACCCAAATAAACATATACTTTAAGAAGATCAGATGCAGTAAGCAGTAAACAGTATTTACATGTAAGTCATTAAGCCATCTTATTTAATTTACTGATTTACACTTTCAATATTAAAATATTGAAAGAGTTCTATTTCATCAGTGTGTACTTCCACACAGTTAACATCACCTCATTAAATACATCATGTTATGGTCATAGAACATTACAGAGAAAGCAATTCTTTAGGATCCAGCATTTTAGTTCAGAAATCAAGAATTCTGGAGACATCTAAGAGATAGCTGCCTACTATAGATCTAGTCTTTTAACTCCATTCATAACACATCATACTTCAAAATATTCATAAAGTCAAAAAGTAAGAATGAATTAAGAACTTCCACCCACAACTGGCTTTGTGTGACAGTATATTTTTACCAGTGATGCTCAGGCTAATATGCAATAATTGAAAGCTTCATGTAAAATTTCATAGAACAGTTTTAGAAGCAATTTAGATACACACAATTGCCTTTTCTTACTGTAATAATTCAGATAGTTGACTTAAATGTTGCTCTGCCGGCTCAGGAAAGCAGCATGACAAATTAATATTTTAATGAAACAGAGATGCTCCTATGGAAGATACTGATTTAAGATAACTAAAATGATCAAGGAGGGGCAAAGAGGCAGCAAGCAGCCAGGCCAAAGGGAAAGGAAAGTAAGATGCACATGAGGTCACCTCATGGCAAGAAAAGAAACCTATTTGTGAGATTCTGCAACGTGCGGGTAGTCCACATCAGTGCTTAATTAATGCAAATACTTCCATAAATGTCTTTCAGAGTGAGCTATACTCTTTTGCCTCGACTCTGCACTTCAATGTTCTAACCATTAATGTGGGGTTGTGTTTTGTTTCTTCACTGTAATACTGATTTTTCAAAAAGCTTGGAAAAAAGATTGCACAGACAACCACAGCATAGCTGTTCACTCATGTTATGATTTTAGTGCATGAATTTGTGAACAGGTGGATCTTTCTTTTTTCTTCACTTTACCATATGAATCCCGAGACAATCAGAGGTGACTGTCAAAGGTAAAAGTGTATTCACAACTAACAAGACATGTTAAAAGTCAGTTGTTTGGGTTATCTAGAAGAGACTCAACTTACTGTGTACCCTTAATATTCTAATAAAAACAAATCTAGAGCTTGTAAAATAAACATACCTCAAAATTCACAGGCAAGTTCCTTTTAAGTGCAATCTCAAAAACTTGGCTTATTTCAGATTTATTGAGATTTTCATCATCTGGTTCTTTTCCGTTAACCTAAAAGAAGCATACTCTATTTAAAATAAAGATCCTATTAAATTGAATTTTATCCATCCAACCAGTTTACTGAACTCTCAAAATTTTAAGTAGTCTAACCTTTACTGCCGTTTTACGTGAATGTGTAGAAATGTGGCACACATACTACAGAATTGAAACTTAAGAAGCTCATTTAAGGTGTATGTGTAAAAGCTAGCAAACCTTCATATTTTCATGTGCTCGTTACAGGAAAGAACAAATGGAATAAGGGCCAATAGGTTTAAAGATCTATTTCTAGAAAAACAAACTGAAGTGTTAAATGAGCTGATTTCCAAATGGAAGTACCTTTATGAAATACAATTTTCATATGCTGATTGGACATTTGTACCAAAAGCACTAAGACAGTATCAGATAAGAGAAAGGGCAGGAAAAATAAAGATTCTGAGAATGGGACCAATGTGAATAAAGAATGGCTAATTAGACCCTGGCATAGTCCTGTCGTTTAACATGCTCCCTTGTAAGTGCTTCATCTACAGATTTTTTTCTCATCTGAAGAACATGCTATCAGGAACTTGCCTTAAATCAAATCGTGTACATCTCTGAGAACTTACACCTGCTAGGAGGACAGCAGTGCCAGGTGAAGCTTACCTACAGGCACTTCTACGTATCTCCAGGTAAAATTTTGATTGTGATTCCAAAAATGTCTTCACTGATGTTGGGATCAACATGAACTAAGAGGCATGGTAACAGCAACAGAGAAATTTTAAGACTAAGTGTCCAGCAGCGATATTGGAAAGATTACGATAGAGATGAATAGCAACAATTTCACCAATTATATCATGCCACAATACTAGTTATGCAACCAGGTAACAAAAATGATTTAAATATTTCATTGGAGCAGCAGAAATATGCTAGAGAGTTCTCATTGATTAAAAATATTTTTGATGGTAGCAAGCATCCCCAATGTCTGTTACTAAAAGTTAGATTAAAACATGAAGGAAATTTTTTTTTTCCACCACTTAAAGCAGCCTCTTCCCATCTCAGAACAAAATATGAGTAAAATTAATCTTGGTTTTCACTCCTCCCACTGTCCCATCAGATTTCACACTGTTCTTATGGGTTGACCTTGTATTTCAGATTCGAGTTGCAAACATTTCAGAAGAGCACCTATAGCCCAACATCCTTTTACAATGATAAGATCTGATACTTCTGATCCCACTACTACATCCAGTCTGCAAACTCTATGCGGAGGTGTACATAGAGCAATCTTCAGGTCTGCGAAAACTGAGACCGCACGATGGTACCACTCCCACAGGAGCAAGGTAGATGCACTGTGCATTAGACTGCATGAGAAACGTGGAGGCAACACCTACACTAGAGGAACCATACTATACCTCAGCAGAAGGCACAACGCAGGTAAAAATTGGCAAAACCAAGATTGAATACAGGAGTCAAAAGTCTTGATCATCATATTCTAAAACCTATTTCAAATGCAATTGGTAAGTTCAAAAGGAACAGCATCATATACCCAGAAAAAATATTTTAACTACTAAGGTCTTATTTTATTACAGTCTAGGTGTTACAGCAAGTTTACTACCAGGAATAATCTGTCACTACCCTTACTATCAAAACATTAAAGCACACTTTAATTACAAATATTTTTCCCCTCCTTGTAATTTCAGATATATTCTAGTTTTTCAAATTCCAACATTTTTTCTTGTGAAGGTGACCAGGACTTCTCTTTATTGGATTAGATTTTTCCCATTTAATATCCTTTCAAGAGAATACAAATAAATAGTATGGAATTATTTGCTATATTCTGGTGTATATTCTTGACATATTCCAAGTCTGTTCACACGGTGTAAAACACAGGTACTTTTCTTCAATACCTTTATCTAAAAAGAGTAAATTAATAGCAAAATAACAATTAACAGACTGTAACTATTTTACCGATTATTTTGCCCCTACTTGAGTTCTGGAATCAGTTTATTTTATAAATAAAAAATAATCATACACACACACTCTCCCTCTTTCTCCTTCCCTGCACACCTCAAGGCAGATGATCTATAAAGTCTGCTTTTAAAGTAGTTTGCATGTGTGCATAGACTAAACTCTTCAAGGAATCTATGCCTCTAAATCAGAATGAGACCACTTATATATATGAGGCCACAAATATAACCATTTACCACTCTTAGCTCTCATCAAATTGTTCGAAGCCATCTCTAACAAGTGAAAAAAACAGTCACAAAAGGAAACAAAAGTGACAGATTAAAAAACTCCCAAGCCAATTGCAACAGTAATATACTCCTTTAAGAGGGATTCACCCTTTTCTAGCAACTTTCAACATGCACTTCCTCAAGGACTGCTTATAAGCAAATTATGAAAACCAGTGGAGCTGCTGATTAGAACTACCTTGATTTCAACATAGGTATCAGTCTGACTATTTTTTTCCATGTTAAGGGTATAAAGAGCAGCTGATATTTACCAAATAAGCTGGCAAAAAACATAGAAGCAATTCTGGTTTTAGTATTTTCAATCAAAAGTTAGAATTTCTGTCTAAGAATTGTGCTAGAAAGCATAGCGTTCTATGTTTTCTAAGATTTAAATCAATGCTTTATCATCTCTGTCTTTGAATATGCAAAGTAACCCCATACTGCAACTTCGTCAGTGTGTCTTAACTCCAGTCAGGCTAATTTAGGTTGGAAGGGTCCTTTGGAGGTCTCCTACTACAGCCTCCCACTCAAAGCAGAGCAGACTTTAAAATTAAATTGGGTTGTTCAGGCAGGGCTTTGTCCAGTTGAGAGCTAATATTATTAAATCTTTTTCCAGCCACTTGCTTCTAGATTTGCAGTCTGAGAAGGTGTGGGAAATGGTCATTCTTACCCTTAAAGTCTAATCATTTTATTCAGAGATTTCTTCTTAAGCACTGAATACTTTCTAATTTAAAAATACAAGAGTAAAATCCTGTAAATACAAAAATTTGTAAAATAAAAATAAAAATAAAGAAATAAAAATTTACAAAATTACTCCCCTCCCCCCCCAAAAAAAACCCCAAACCCCAAGAGTTCAAGCTTAAGCATATTCTGTTTACACACACACACAAATGGGATACACAAAAATAACTACATTTAAAATGAAAATTACTAGCAACATCAAATAACAGGTAGGAAGTATCAGGATTATGTCTGCTTGTGAAATCTTAATTTGCCTCCATTGTACACACGCATTATAATAGCATCTCTTATGATCTTACGCTACCGTATCCTTCAAGGACCTTGCCTCACTGAATGCAAGAATGAAAAGTGCTCACTTAGTGGTAAAATCTTCCTTATTTTATCTTCATCTTGTCTAGTGCAAAAGGCGGTTACAAAAACAGCAATTCCCTCAGACATTCCTAAAACTACAATATTTGAAAGCCACAAATATTAATGAACTTAGCATTTAAGTACCAAACTTTAAATTAAGATCTGATTTATCCAAGTACTTACTATAAAACAGTACTCTCTGTTCAAAGGATTGCTCTCCTTAAGCATAGCTGCATTTCTTACTGTTCATTTTGTAGACAAGTCAAACAAACAGAAAAATAAAATGACAAATGCATGTTTCTCGTGAAAGTTTAAGTGACTTGCCCAGCATATGTATAGTAGGGTCAAGACAGCATTCAGTTCGCAGCGAGTTTGCAACTGTTTTATTCATAAAATAATTCCCCTTTCTTGCAATCTCTTGCATTATTCATAATAGTATTTCCCTTATTATGTCCTTAAAAAACAAAAAAAAAAAAAAAAGGAAAGACTCTGTAGGTTTACTTCCTTTACCTCTCAATTTACACCCCTTACACTGAATGAGACATCCTATAGAAAAGGATACGTGGCCACATAAAGACAACTGCGGTGTTTGTTCTGAAGACCTCACATTACTCAACTTTAAACACAACTCGCAACTCTACAAATATTCAGAAAGTCACTTGTACAGAAGCATTTCTAAAAAAGTGAACAGAAAAGAATTCAATTACATGTGATCCTATTATCTTCTGCAGAGTTGGACTCCTTGGTTCCAGTACACAGAACTTTGCTACCTGAGGTGGAAAAATGGCTGATGACAGTAGGTTATCTTTTACGAGGGTGAGTGCAAAAAGAGGATATTATGCGTCACTGACACAGAACGATAATACTCAGGAATTTGGGGTGCCCCTGCACTGAAGGGGAACATCCCCCTCAGGCTTGACCTCTCCTGTGTGAAGACCTCCAGCTTGTCCCTGACCACACTCTGCCTATCACCAGTTCTAGATTTCAGTGCAGAAGTCATCTCCACTCTTTCAGCTTCTATTCCCAGCATCACTCTCTTCTCCCCAATAGCATTTGTAATCCCTTAACTCTTAGTAGCCTCTATTATTCAATGATCTACATTCCTCCAGGAGAGCTTTCTGTTACCTGAACCACTACCATCGGTGCATCCTAGGCCTCTTCCCTGAACTATCAGAACCAGTGTTTTTGCCTAATTATCTGGGCAATGCTCTCTCCTACCAACACACTCGGAAGTTTTAACTCAGCGTCCCTTGGCTTCACAACACATTTCCTCAATCCTCTTGCTCTGCCATTCCTGATAGTTCCCAGCTATTTTTTTTTTTGCCAGTCTGAGACCCCTTGTTACCTTCTTGCCCAATTCTTCATTTTCCTTCTTTCTCAGCACATAGCCAGACTCCATATCCAGCAAGTTCTCATGCTCCCCAGATTGTAAGTTATCAGTCTAACCTCCACTTCCTGTTCCTCACCTCTCTGGCAATGTCCTAGTCTCTCTTGCTTCTAGGTTTGTATTACATGGCCTCCTCCTCAACACGATCTAGATGCCAACATGGAGTACATCAATAGATCTCTTGCTCTTAGTTGTAACATCAAGCCCTTATAACTCAGATAGGTATAATGAGCCCATAAAGGAAAGACTAAATACACTCTTTGTAGTAGTCTTTGGCCAAAGCAGTCAGCCAACACATGCGGAGAGGGTGCACACAGTCAACCAGCCCCAGAAGCTATGAGTAACTCCTGCGCACACAATGAGACCTTTTGCCTAAAGCAACTTAACAAAAAAGCATGAAAAAGATCAATAACAGTGTCTTGGAATGGAAAGTGCTGGGCAGCCATCAATATATGGAGGGATAAAAATTTGTTTCTTATATTCATATCAAAATGTGTGTATGAGTTTACTACTTCCATGAACTTTCTGCTTTTCTAGAACTTCCATGGTTCTTTCCAAAATCATGTAGGAATATTGCTCAGGAAGCAAATCCATGCCCGATTTCTATGTTGCCCATACTAGAATGCAAGTACCCCATTTACACTCTTCTTCAGAAGTTTGTATATGATCTGTACCTGATATTAGATATTAGTTCCTATCTATGCTTCCAGTGCTCATATCTGACAGAAGTCTATAGCATTGCTGTGGAAAAATATGACAGCAAAAGAATTAATATAACTTCATTTGGGAAAACTCTAGTTCCATAGAAATTTATGTTTTTAAATCAAAGTGATTCTATTGACACAAGTAGGTCAACACTACTGCACAGAATTAAATTTCACAACTGTCATCTTCCTCTCAATAAGGAAAAAATCTACAACAGTATCTCAGTTTATCTCAGCAATTTACGCTTACAACACTAAGATTAATTCCCACCTCTGGTTTCTCAGGCAAGGGCTCATTCTGCAGAACTTTCAGTGCTTTAGCAGCTGCATCATGCTTAGCAGCTTGTCTTGTTCTTCCTTTCCCATGAAACTGCTGCCCTCCAATTGAAAGCTCAACTTGATAAAGTAAGGGCCCAACAGGAAATGGGTAAAAGTACCTGCAAAGAGAGAGATTTAAATAAGCAAATAGTTCGGCCTACAAAGTAAACAGAAACATAAGTTATACGCGGATGAATCTCTTGGATGTCAGTAAGCATGACTCAGCACTGAAGCACTAGTATTAAAAAGCCAAATTTTGATTTAAAGTCTAAAAGATTTTAGAGACAGACCTTTGAAACAGAGTATCAACATTTCTTGTTTTACAATACCAACACATTTGTAACAGAGAAAGACAATGTAACTATGCTTTTATAGACTTGGTAGGCCAGTAAGTTTTGAATTCTCAATTCCTATGCCCATATAAAATTCTTTAAACTAAAGCTTTAATTTAAATAGTTTTAGAAAAAGCAAACTGTTTTCTTCACTTTTCCTTTTACACAGAAAGGAAATGGAAGAAATATTTAGCTAGTATTTAGCTATTCACTTCATGAAGCTGGCTATATCCGAATGCCCTCAAAAACACTTCATCATTTGGTTCAGTTCCCTTTTTCCTCCCCTTCCCCCCCGCCCAAAGAAAAGAAAAAAAATTAAATAAGACAAATTACAGATATTAATGGGGTGTACGTATCAAAGCTTTTTGCCTCATAAGCTGGCTATGTTTCAAGCTGAATATCCCTTTACGGGACCTTGTATTTCTAGCTAGTTTTCAGAAGATAGCATCAAAGCACTCGGATCATGAGAGCAGAAGTCCAAAGATATGAGACTGCAAAACCCAAAAAATTAAACAACACATACCGTGGAGGATAAGTACCACCTCTCATAGTGTAGTTGTAAGTGGATCTCATCCCTGTATAAGGATCGATAGGTTTGTACATAGGTTTCTTTCCCAGCTTCATGCAAAGTGCATTTAACTCCACTGTGGGGGTTACACTGTCTAAATAAAAAGGAATATAAAAAGAGTTGTCCAACTGTCACAAGGAACTGAAACAATCTAAACTCTTATGCTGTCTCAAAGCAGGGAAAAATTAGCTCAAGTTTTGCCATATGCAGCATCTTAAACAAATGAATTCTGAATAGAAATGCTAATGAACACAAAGAAAATAAGTCTATACGATACATATTAAATTAGCAGCTTAGTACAGTTGAGACAAATCCTATTACAAAAAAGTGAATTTGCTGGGAGCTTTTTTTTGGTTTTGTTTTTGGTTTTGTTTCGGTTTGTTTGTTTTTTTAATTTTATTTTATTTTGCTTTAAACTTGTGAAGCTACCGATTTATTTATTTTTACAGCATATTTAATGATGTGGTCTACAGAACAGAAATTTCTCTTCCCCAAAGAATACTTTTAAATTAAATTAACAGACATGCTACATATCTTCTGTTTCTGTTGTTTACTGAGAACAATCAAACATTTCTCTTTGTACTCAATGACCTAAGAAGGGTTTTTATGACTCTTCGCTTTCAAATTGCAACTTGCCTTTTCAAAAGGAAGGTATATTGCTACTGATGGCTATAAACATTTCTCTCAGTGTAGATATCGTGTGGATGAAGAATTGACTCACTGACTATTCCCATTTGAGAAAGAACAGTCACGTAAATGGTCATTTTTTCTATCACAGGCCTCACTGGCTCAAAAAATCAGCGTGTATTCTATTACAATAGTGTTTTGTTATAAGGCAATTGCCAAAAGAAAATGAAATTATGGAACAGATTCACAGACAAAATAAGTAATTGCTAGCTTCTAATATTTTCACTGTTGACCGTACAAAGGGTTTCTAAAGAAAGAATTTAGGTGATATTAGAATACAACGGGCACAGAAGGTAAGTTTTAACCTTTGCTGAACATACTAATGCTATCCAGTAGCTTTGCTTTCAAGTGACTAAGAGTAAATGCAAAACAATCACACGTGCAGCTGTGAAGCTAGTTCATACTTAATTTTACATTTTAAATATATCTTAAAAGCAATCTTAGTAAAGTAAGAAGTTCCCTAAACATAGCTAACTACACCTTAAATACAAATCAACATCTATTTCTCTTTAAAGAAGTGATGATAAATGATGCGAATTCTAAAGTTCTGATCCAATCCCTCAACACAAATTTAACAGTTTTGGGTTTTTGGGGGTTTTTTTGCTTGTTTGTTTGTTTTTCTTTTTAAACTTCATTTCCAAAGAAATCTTTATTGTCAAGCTTTTGAATTATCCTATCAGAATTACCAAACACATTCATCTGCCCACACAAAAGATTATTCTTTGCTGTGACCAAACTCCTCATGGTTTGTTTTTTGTTTGGATTTTTTTTTTACTTACTTTTTTTTTTTTTTTTAAGAGTAGGATAAACAGCTTTTTCAGGATTCCACCACGTGTTACAATACAAAACCGTAAGTTAAGCAGTGGGTTCTTCAAGCCTGAATGACTTGATGGAAAACCCTATACTTTAACTTGTTAATATGATGATTTTTTTTTTTTTAATGTCATCTACAATGATCAAAGATTAACTCAAGATGATGTTCTCACAAAACCTGACAATTGGCATTGTTAAATATGCAGAATCACTGTTTTTATTCATCCTTATGCAACATTAAAATACATACCAAAACTAGAAAGGTGTATTTTTTTTTATTTTTTTTTTTTAAATCAGTTTGTTGTGGCATATACCTGGATTCTTGCCTTCACTACGAGAGGGACGAGCCGTAGGCTTAGGGAATTTTGTCCCTTCCAAAGCTTTGGCAGCTGCTGCATGTTGCGCTTTTTTAATACTAGTTCCTTCAGCTTCCCAGTGCTGGTCCCCAAGAGTCAGTTGCACTGTAAACACCTCAAAAATAGAAAACATGAATTTTATTATGAGCTGCTTCAGAATTCACATAATTTATTAGACCTTTAGAGTCCTTTAGTGATGTAAAAGTTGAGAATATGCTAATCAAAGCTTTCCTCAACCACCATGTCATCTCCAGATTTTAAACACTTCGGACATCAATAGGATTTCCCTAATTACTGAACTAAGAATTTCACAGTAACTGTAGCTAGCAACTATCCTGCATACTGCATGAGATCATATAGGCTAAAAAACAAAAGACACAATGTGTATAGAGGTGACAGCTACATGGATAGCTGGTATGCCAACATTACTCTGAACAGCAGCCTTGAAATTCAGACTTTTTTATTCCACATAACTTGATTCTTGCTTTAATACTGTAGGTTTGTTTTTTTTTTTTTTTAAACGATATTTTTCAGCAGTTTGAAGAAAGACAAGTTCAAGTTGCACCATAAAAGCTTCTACATGCCCACAGGTGAGCACAAACCTACTTGACTATAGAGCAAAGCTCTGTGGCACTTCTTTTTAAGTATGTGGGATAAGGAAGGATACATATTGCCCTAAATTTTCACAAATTAATCAGACAACAGCAAGCCAAGGTCTCCCTGGTAATTAAATGAAGTTTAATTTCAATGAGAATGAAAACACAAGTGAACAGATGCTCTGAATGTTATTCCAATACTTTTTGTAAATGCAGACCTTGCCCCCTTGGCACATTGAAGATGACATTACATATATTTTGGACGAAAGATTTTAGTTCTTAATATTATTCAATTCCAAGGCAATTCCTCTAACATACACAAACACTGTTCTGGGAAACAGATGATGTCAGATTAAACAGACACATCCCAAGCTGATTTTCCTTGTATGCTTTGACCTCAGTTCTCATACAACAGAGATCTTCAATGAGGATTAAAAAGTTTAATAATGCTAGAACTCCCTTCTTCGTTGTTCTCTAAGTAACGCAAACTGCTTGTATATTTGCTATATTCCTGAAAAACTATCTCTCTGCATATGAACAGAACACCAAAGGAATTGTATATTACCGAGATTTTGATACATTGTAAAAGATACGCCATGATATGGGATGCCGACCACTTGTTGGTCTACCCTAGGCATTCCTATATTTCCACTGTGAAGAACTAAAGATTCTTTTGCTAAAGTAACTGTTCCAGAGCAGATGAATGTTCAGTGCTGTTCAATCATACTGTATTTCAGGCATTAAAGAACATATACCAAGATCCTTGTTTCCCAAATATCGGGCAATTAGGATAGAAAGGTTCATTTTATTTACAACTAAAACAGAGCAAACAGCAAAGCAACAGTTATGATGTGCACAAGAGAGAACAACTCTTAATTTTACGTAGTAAGAATTCTGGGCATATCAACAAATACAGATTTGTACCTTACCAACTACATAGACACAAAAGCATTAAAACTCCTTATGTAGCATTTTTCCTAAAGAAACATAATTGCCATAAATCTTCCTGTATCTCATGGGATAATTTGGACTAAGAAACTATTTTAATCTTTTAAAGTTGGTGGGATTAATCTCAAAATATTAAAATGCACCACAGGAAGAACACAGAAAATTTGCAGCACAGGCAAGATGTAGAACCAAAGCTTAACAACGTACTAGAAAGTGATTGTATAAAGATCATCCGTATTTAAAACAAAATTTTTTAGCAAGGGACAAACCTTGCTTTATTAAATGAAAGTCAATGCCAAGCATTTCATAATGGAGCTAACATAAATAACTCTTCAAAAAAGCTAAGTAGTTTTAGGTAACAGGTAAGTTCAACCTTTATGTACTTTGGAAAATCAACTTTGTAGTACACATGTAACAGCTTCACACTTCCCTACTATCGGTTCTTTGGTGAGCTTCCCATTCCTCTCTATTATTCTATATTATCTTGCACCAAAAGCATATACTTTGGCTTTCCACTTATGAAAGAGCATGAACAACAGCAATAAGAAACTTATATTTACCTTAGAATGAGCTGGACCTTGCTCACTCAAAAGCTTATACTCAGGCTGAATCTTGTTGAAACGGGCTAACTCATTCACAAGACACATTGGGGTTTTCTCTTTGGGGTTTGCCATGTTTGAAGGAGCTGAAAGATTACATAAAATCAGATAAATGAACAGGTAGCTATGAACTCTACTACAATTTTTAATTAAAAAGAAATCTTATTGGCTTAGCATTTAGTTGTCTGCAATACACCACTTCTCAGAAAAGATTTGCTGGAATAGGCAGCTCTGCTCATTAGCGAAACTGGCAACAATCTACTGAACTTTGGGATTTCCAAGCAATGCGCACGCCTAAAAGACAGCATCATTAAATTTAATGTTTTAATGCAAGCCAGAAGTATGAAGTTAGCTGACTCCCACATTTAGCTTGCATCTTACGTAGTACATTTCAAGGAGCAAATCTTCTAAGTATTCATCATGGTCACTTGCTCTGAATAATTTCAAAAAGTCAGTTAATTTCTTTTTCCTTCTCCTATTTTTCCCTATTATCTATTTTTTATTTATTACCTTTTATTCTCTCTATTATATTTTACAAACATTTCAACTACTAGAACTTCGTGGAAAAGTATGCTTCTGTCTCAAACAGATTTCGTTCAATAGGGAGAAAGCATCACAAGCTACTGTAGTTGGACAAATATTACTTTTAAAGTATTGTAGGTGCAAGACATCAGGAATATATCATGCCAAACTATAAACACTAAGAATATATACACTTATCAACAGACACTCAAGCTTACCTGCAGCTGCATTGGTGGATGTAACTGATGCAGAGGGTAAAGCAGAGTTTTGGATAGGTCTACCTGCATTTTCAGAGGGCAAAGAACTAGTAGTAGAAGGAATACTCAAAGGCTGTGAAAGAGTTGGGTTTTTATTCAATATTTGGCTCCCTGCAAGGGCAGCAGAAGGATTCTGAATTTGAACTTGAGACATGTTCACTTCCAACCAGAGCAAATTACTGTAGGTAAACAGCTTTGAATGCAGGCAAACTCAGTGTGATGAAGCCAAATTGCTGACCTACAATGTAAAGATGAAAGAAAGGTTATACTAAATATTTAGCATTCTCTAACTAACAATCTATTGAAATTCTTTCTTCATTAGCAAAAAGGGGAAAAGGGGAAAAAGTGTTCAATCAAGCATCCATTGTTTCCATTTTGTATGCAATAGGTCACTTAAGCATCCAGCTTTAACAGCATATTTCAATCTATACGCCCTATCATGTTTCACATTTCTTTCATTTATAAAAGAGGAGTAGTACAGAAGCTTTATTTATGCTTGTTCATTTAAGATAACTATCCATCTGTTTTCCCCATCACTGAATCCACTTACAAAGCAAATCCAGTTACTTAAACTGATAGCCACTGCTTACATACTAAACAAAGAGCAACTTTCATGAACAGATTACATTTCATGCATTCTACCATTTGAAGTTAAAGTTTTTAACTTGCAAGGACAAGCAATAAATGCAGTCTTTACAAAACAACTATTTAGAGCATGCACCCTTTGTTACAATCATATACTTTTTTCCCCCAGGATCACCAAGAAGAATGCCTAGCCATTTATGAGGGGAACACAACTGGTGTCCTGCAGAAAATGCCGAAGTAGCTGTGACTGGGAAAAGCGAAGGTGTAAGAGTTCATAAACTTTATGAGCTTCATGCGTTTTGAAGGTTACTTCTATTTAAGTCAGAACATGTCTCAGTCACAGTTCAATCACCAATTTAGAGTTATTTGGCCTTGAACACTGTAAACAAGTGTTGAAAGTGCTCATAGGCACCTATGTTCATTTGAGAAAAAACACCTCCAAGCGATGAACTTGCACCAGTCAATGTGAAGTATTGTGACAGGTCTTTCCTCCACCAACAAATTAGTATTAGATCTCTCTTACACATGGATGCAACATTATCTTCATGCTCAGACAGTTAAACCTAAATATACAGTAACAGGTTGCCAGTTTGAAGGCTATCATTGCTGCCAGAGCTCAGCTGCCCATATCTGCTTACGATCCACATATCAACTTATTTATTAAAAATAAATTTTACAGCCAAGTAAATACATTTTACACACACAGGCACACACGCATGCACACATACACTGGTCACCTACAGATTTTATTAGGGCAGCAAACGAAGATTTATTCTTTCATAATTTAGAGATGAAAAAGAGAAGAGAAATCACTGCTCCAGATACCACCAGGGAGCTATTAGTAGCAACACAACTCCACTAGTGCTCTGTAAGCTTCAAATTCTGAACCTGTGAATGGACTTCCAAATGTAAGAGGAGCAGCAATGAGTCAGAGAGAAGTTTTTAGCTAGTTACTGACAAAACAAACCTAAGAGGAGAACCTAGGTTAATACATTCATGGATACAAAGATTTATTTATTTATTTATTAAATAAGAGGAAAGAAGCTGCTGGGAAACAACAAATACAGCAACAAATCTACCATCTGGAATATTTTTACTTTGAAAAAACATCATAAACATGGCAGGCTTATCATACTACCGGTTGGATAACTTTGTTTTTTACTAGAGAGTGAAATTAGTTCAGATCTCATTAGTTCAGAAGACCTACATGTAGATTACACTCAAAACAAATCCTGTATTTGACTACTAAATTTGCAGAAGTTATACACTGGATGCATTATAACTGTGAAAAGGGTATTAGGGCGTCTATCTAAAGGAGCTCCAAGAAGTTGTAAGATAAGGATGAAAAGTATGTAGATTAAGACTCCAGGGTAATAATTTTATAATCACTAAGTTTCATTCCCAGGAGCATCACTAGAAACACTGAAAATTTTCAGACATAATACAACAATAATAATTGCCCAGTAAAGACTACAAAGTCTTGCAGTGCAATAAAAAAAGCTAATTCTCCTTTC